TAGACACAGAAACAATACGAAAGAGAACAACAGAGAGTGAGTAGACACAGAAACAATACGAACGACAACAACAGAGAGTGAGTAGACACAGAAACAATACGAAAAACAATAACAGGAAGTGAGTAGACACAGAAAGAATACGAAAGAGAACAACAGAGAGTGAGTAGACACAGAAACAATACAAACGACAACAGAGAGTGAGTAGACACAAAAACAATACGAAAGAGAACAAGAGTCACTAAAACAATACGAACAACAACAACAGGAAGTAAGGAGACACAGAAACAATACGAAAGAGAACAACAGAGTGTGAGTAGACACAGAAACAATGCGAAAAACAATAACAGGAAGTGAGAAGACACAGAAAGAATACGAAAGAGAACAACTGAGAGTGAGTAGACACAGAAACAATACAAACAGAAACAATACAAACGACAACAGAGAGTGAGTAGACACAAAAACAATACAAACGACAACAACAGGAAGTGAGTAGACACAGAAACAATACGAAAGACAACAACAGAGAGTGAGTAAACACAGAAACAATACAAACGACAACAACAGAGAGTGAATAGACACAGAAACAATACGAAAGAGAACAACAGAGAGTGAGTAGACACAAAAACAATACAAACGACAACAACAGGAAGTGAGTTGACACAGAAACAATACAAAAGACAACAACAGGAAGTGAGTAGACACAGAAACAATACGAAAGAGAATAACAGAGAGTGAGGAGACACAAAAACAATACGAAAGACAACAACAGAGAGTGAGTAGACACAGAAACAATACGAAAGACAACAACAGAGAGTGAGTAGACACAGAAACAATACAAAAGACAACAACAGGAAGTGAGTATACACAGAAACAATACAAACGACAACAACAGAGAGTGAGTAGACACAGAAACAATACAAACGACAACAACAGAGAGTGAATAGACACAAAAACAATACGTCCGACAACAACAGGAAGTGAGTAGACACAGAAACAATACAAAAGACAACAACAGGAAGTGAGAAGACACAGAAACAATACGAAAGAGAACAACAGAGTGTGAGTAGACACAGAAACAATACGAAAAGACAACAACAGAGAGGGAGTAGACACAGAAACAATACGAAAGATAATAACAGAGAGTGAGTAGACACAGAAACAATACAAACGACAACAACAGAGAATGAGTAGACACACAAACAATACAAAAGACAACAACAGGAAGTGAGTAGACACAGAAACAATACGAACGACAACAACAGAGTGTGAGGAGACACAAAAACAATACGAACGACAACAACAGAGAGTGAGGTGACACAGAAACAATACGAACGACAACAACAGAGAGTGAGTATACACAGAAACAATACAAACGACAACAACAGAGAGTGAGTAGACACAGAAATAATACAAACGACAACAACAGAGAGTGAGTAGACTCAGAAACAATACGAAAGAGAACAACAGAGAGTGAGATGACACAGAAACAATACAAACGACAACAACTGAGAGTGAGTAGACACAGAAACAATACGAAAGAAAACAACAGAGTGTGAGTAGACACAGAAACAATAAAAACGACAACAACAGAGAGTGAGTAGACACAGAACCAATACGAAAGACAATAACAGGAAGTGAGTAGACACAGAAACAATACGAACGACAACAACAGAGTGAGTAGACACAAAAACAATACGAAAGACAACAACAGAGAGTGAGATGACACAGAAACAATACGAAAGAAATCAACAGAGAGTGAGATAACACAGAAACAATACGAACGACAACAACAGAGTGAGTCGACACAAAAACAATACGAAAGACAACAACAGAGAGTGAGATGACACAGAAACAATACGAAAGAAATCAACAGAGAGTGAGATGACACAGAAACAATACGAACGACAACAACAGAGAGTGAGTAGACACAGAAACAATACGAAAGAGAATAACAGAGAGTGAGTAGACACAGAAACAATACGAACGGCAACAACAGAGAGTGAGATGACACAGAAACAATGCGAAAGAAATCAACAGAGAGTGAGATGACACAGAAACAATACGAAAGACACCAACAGAGAGTGAGTAGACACAGAAACAATACGAACGGCAACAACAGAGAGTGAGATGACACAGAAACAATACGAACTACAACAACAGAGAGTGAGTAGACACAGAAACAAAACGAACGACAACAACAGAGAGTGAGATGACACAGAAACAATACAAACGACAACAACAGAGAGTGAGAAGACACAGAAACAATACAAAAGACAACAACAGGAAGTGAGTAGACATAGAAACAATGCGAACGACAACAACAGAGAGTGAGGAGACACAGAAACAATACGAACGACAACAACAGAGTGTGAGGAGACACAGAAACAAAACGAACGACAACAACAAAGAGTGAGATGACACAGAAACAATACGAAAGAGAACAACAGGAAGTGAGTGAACGACAACAACAGAGTGTGAGGAGACACAGAAACAAAACGAACGAGAACAACAAAGAGTGAGATGACACAGAAACAATACGAAAGAGAACAACAGGAATTGAGTAGACACAGAAACAATACGAAAGAGAACAACAGGAAGTGGGTAGACACAGAAACAATACGAACGACAACAACAGAGTGTGAGTAGACACAGAAACAATACGAAAGAGAACAACAGGAAGTGAGTAGACACAGAAACAATACGAACGACAACAACAGAGAGTGAGTAGACACAGAAACAAAACAAAAGACATCAACAGAGAGTGAGTAGACACAGAAACAATACGAAAGACAACAACAGGAAGGGAGTAGACACAGAAACAATACGAACGACAACAACAGAGAGTGAGGAGACACAGAAACAAAACAAAAGACATCAACAGAGAGGGAGTAGACACAGAAACAATACGAAAGACAACAACAGAGAGTGAGTAGACACAGAAACAAAACGAAAGACAACAACAGAGAGTGAGTAGACACAGAAACAAAACGAAAGACAACAACAGAGAGGGAGTAGACACAGAAACAATACGAAAGACATCAACAGAGAGTGAGGAGACACAGAAACAAAACGAAAGACAACAACAGAGAGTGAGTAGACACAGAAACAATACGAAAGACAATAACAGGAAGTGAGTAGACACAGAAACAATACGAAAGAGAACAACAGGAAGTGAGTAGACACGGAAACAATACGAACGACAACAACAGAGAGTGAGATGACACAGAAACAATACGAAAGAAATCAACAGAGAGTGAGATGACACAGAAACAATACGAACGATAACAACAGAGAGTGAGTAGACACAGAAACAAAACGAAAGACATCAACAGAGAGTGAGTAGACACAGAAACAATACGAAAGAGAACAACAGGAAGTGAGTAGACACGGAAACAATACGAACGACAACAACAGAGAGTGAGATGACACAGAAACAATACAAACGACAACAACAGAGTGTGAGTAGACACAGAAACAATACGAAAGAGAACAACAGAGAGTAAGATGACACAGAAACAATACGAACGACAACAACAGAGTGTGAGGAGACACAGAAACAAAACGAACGACAACAACAAAGAGTGAGATGACACAGAAACAATACGAAAGAGAACAACAGAGAGTGAGTAGACACAGAAACAATACGAACGACAACAACAGAGAGTCAGATGACACAGAAACAATACGAAAGAGAACAACAGAGAGTGAGATGACACAGAAACAATACGAAAGACAACAACAGGGAATGAAGAAAACACTAAAATAAATAGATATGCAACATTTGATTAAGCGCCATATCTAGATAGAATAAGCCACTCTATAGCGCTTTTCAGTACATTGATACAAGTAAAGAACTTATTCAATTAACATTTGCATTAAATAATGCATAAATCAACACAATATCAAGGAATTTGCAGGAGATGCCTTATCAGACGCCAACTACTAGTCTTATGCCACCCGGCTAATATCTCCCTATGTTTGCCTGCGCGTGTACTGGAGATGTATTGTTTTCTTATGTAGTGGGACTGGCTTTATAGGACCACCTCGCTGGAATGCACAGATACCGCAACACACATCCCACCAGATCATTTCCAGGAATTGTGAAACGTCGATACAATAGAAAAAGCAACGACAAGAAGTGAGGAGACACCAAAGTAAATGGAAAGGCAACATGAAATGGATGGTCGGGTGGCGCAGTGAATAGCCTTTCACCGAACGACCGGATTTCGATTCCTCGATCGGACGTGAAAAGCTATGGGGACATCTGCCCGAACACATGGGTTTTCTCCGGGTTCTCCGGTTTTCCCCCACATTACCCACATTAAGATCCACCGCACGCTAACATCCGGGCCAAAATTGATTGATATAAGTTGAAAAAACTTGTTTCGTAATTGTTGTAGAATAAATGAAGTTTACATTTTTTCACAGGAAATGAACAGACATCAAAACAAAAGGAAAGAACACAGGAAGTGCGGGGACACAAAAACAAAAGAAAGAACACCGGAAGTGCGGGGACACAAAAACAAAAGGAAAGAACACCGGAAGTGCGGGGACATAAAAACAAAAGGAAAGAACACCGGAAGTGCGGGGACACAAAAACAAAACAAAAAGACAACAAAACGAAGTGACGAGACACTGAAACAAAAGGAAAGAAAACAACAGGATGTGGGGAGACACCAAAACGAAAAGGAAAGACGACAACAGGAGGTCCAGGGACGCAAAACATAAAGGGAAAGACAACAACAGGAAGTGAGAATGAACCGAAACAAAGGGAAAGAAAACAACAGGAAGTGAGGAGACACCAAAGTAAAAGTGAGACAACAACAGTGGCGCCAAAACTAATTAATTATATACAGAAGCAATTCACCATGACATCACTTATTAAAGAAATGGAGGTTTAGAATTAAGTTACTGGAATGTTACGTCTTCTTTATCAAGATAATATCAATTTGATAAAGTGTCGACAACATGTAATAATGAAGACGAAAGCATTTACTTACTCTGATGATGGTAACACAGCGGCTTGTTTTCCATGGTACAATATTTATCCTGAAGCAAGTAGCTGTCATAAGGAAACAGAACGACGCAGTCCTGGTCACCCAAGGGGTCACCTGCGTCATTAGGTTGTCCAGGTCGCCATCTTATCCAGGGGGCGGGGCCAAGCTGCGTTACAAATGTGTTTTCTGTTTCCCTGTCATCAATATCTAACCAGTATCCGAGGTCACTCGATCCTCTGTTGAAGCCCGAATCCGCGTTCCTGTTTCCAACATATCAAAGAGAAAATAGCACCAAGGACGAAACACTGACGAAAACCACAATACAAAATAATATTTACAGAGTGCCGACAACGGACTAAGACAGCTGCAAACAACTGTTTAACATTAATTATAGGCTGATAGGACACATAACAGACGGACCAGAACATACTGTTTAACATTACTTATAGGCTGATAGGACACATAACAGACGGACATGTACATACTGTTTAACATTACTTATAGGCCGATAGGACACATAACAGACGGACCAGGACATACTGTTTAACATTACTTATAGGCGGATAGGACACATAACAGACGGACCAGTACATACTGTTTAACATTACTAATAGGCCGATAGGACACATAACAGACGGACCAGAACATACTGTTTAAAATTACTTATAGGCTGATAGGACACATAACACACGGACCAGGACATACTGTTAACATTACTTATAGGATGATAGGACACAAAACAGACGGACCAGGACATACTGTTTCACATTACTTATAGGCTGATAGGACACAAAACAGACGGACCAGGACATACTGTTTAACATTACTTATAGGCTGATAGGACACATAACACACGGACCAGTACATACTGTTAACATTACTTATAGGCTGATAGGACACATAACAGACGGGCCAGTACATACTGTTTAAATACAAATTAAAACTTGTTTTAATGTAATTTATGCAGTCAGACTTACATGCTTTTACATAACTAATTTTTTTTGCGGAAGGAGGTATGTTGGGGTATGAGTGATGCGGTCCGACAGGTTACATGCGCGCATTGATATGTTGCTATAATTAGATCACTATAAATACAAATGACGCAGCAGCTCCTATTCAGAAGCTGACAAAAGAAGATGGCGGAACAAGATCCGTACGGTCAAGGTCAATTTTATTTCAACTTGTAAAGTTTTGTATTGTTTTATCTGATCACAGATTTTAGTATATACAAGATAAACTTTATGTACTTGACTGTACGTTGTAATGTCGTCAGTTATCGTTTTGGGTCACAGTTTTATTCGCCGTTTGGATGATAGCCTTACGGGTTCATGGACAAATCTAGGTTTTGACCCGGATCAGTTACAAGTCTTGTGTCTTGGCAAAAGTGGCGGTAAGATTCCTAATCTTTACGCTCGTTGTATTTCTGATACTATTCAACAAGTTCAGCCTTCG